ATTAGCTCTTAATTTCACATGAGACCTAGGAAACTGTGATCTTGTCATTTCGTCATAGGCTGGATTTAGTCTATGACTACTGCAAAGATGCATCGAGACTTCGTTATTTCTCACAATATGCCATGGAATTCCAACTGTATAAACGCAAATAACACTGAATGGCTTTAGTTTCAAGCCTTCTTTCCTTATATGCTGAAGAACCAAATATTTTTAGCAACAATGTTAAATGTTCAATCTAACACTGAAACATATATTAGGCTCCTTTTCCTCTGCAGTTCTTCTGATGTATGCTCCGTCAGCTTTTTTGAAAGTGTCAACCATGTTATACAAACCATACTGATTTCTGAAAACAGATTTTAGTCTACTTTCATTACTCAGATTGGCTGATGTGAGGATCTAATGTGCTGAACCAATGTGTACCTTCCAGTCTTTCCAGACGTTTATCTTTTCATGGTAATTCAAGAACATCAAAGCAGATCACTGTATTCTCATCCATAGTCAACATTTAGCAGTGGTGTTCTCCTTCCCAATAACTACAAAAGGAGACGTCAAAACGTTCTCAGAAGGCTGTACGCTTTCATCTTTCAATATCCACTTGACCTTTAGAGCTGGCTGTATTCCCTAGTGTTCCATTTTAAACGAGCGAAATTTTCATAGCATAAAGTCTATATGACTCAGTCCTTTAATACCCATTGTATCTCAGCACTGAATTTATTTCCTTGCTTTCCAGGAAATCCCGCAGAGAAGGTTGTTTATAGAATGCACATTTTCTGTGACTGTGTGGGGGAGAGTTATCGTTGTTTAGCACAAAAAGCTACGTATTCCTGAAAATACATGGGTATATTCTACGAGAAACTCGGAATCTGTCATTATCGTTGTATTTAATCCAAATTACTTGCACAATCATCAACCATTGATCTCAGATGTTCTGACATTCACTTTTGGATATTGTGGAACTGAATCAACAGCTAGTTGTAGCTATTTCTATTTTACTCCAATCACCGTTCAGGAATATGCTTAAAAGCTGAGTATATATGTATATAAATCAACACTAGGACTGTAAAGTGACTCATACAGATAACTGAACAGGTGGAGCTTGCTTCCTGGACAAGACACATTATATTTCATGCATAATTCCATTACTACAGATGATGATAATGCACTTAATAGAGTCTTTAGTATGCCGTGAAACACCACTTATGAGTTGCTTTGAATTCTTCCATAGTATTGTGCTTGTGCATTACACTATTCCTGGTCTTTTTCTGGCTGACTCTGAATGATTTTTCCCATAGACCTACAGTTTTCCCATTCCATAAGCAAAATTGGTTGACATTTCCCATAGTAGGTTCATTCCCAAAATCGCGATGCCTAAACCAACATCAAAGACAACCAACTTCATTTTGTAGGTGATAGCTCCACAAGGTTAGTCTAAGCTCTACACACATGCCTAGCATATCAATCGCGCCAATTGCCAGAACCTCTTATTGACTGAACAAAGCAGTGGGTTCATTCAAAATAGCTGATACATTACAAACTCAATCAGTGTTATGGAACTCCACCTCACACCATGTATCTTTGTAAGGAAATATTAAGGCAAGTCACTAATTGTCCGAGTCAAGCACTAGTCGATCCAAACTCAGTCCTAGCAGTGAGCTGCTTTAAAATGTTTAGGGAATTAGTTCAAGTCCTCCTCATCCGTGACCTTAGATGACCGTGGCTGTAGAAATCTGAAGGATTAGGTGTATTTCTTTAGAATTACACAAAGTTGAAACTGTCCCCAGTTTATCCATTTTGGACTTTAGATCTTACATACATACATACATACATACCAGGCAGCATGTCCATTTGCATTTGTGTTTGGTCATCAAATAGATCAGAAAATTAAGCAAGAAACATAGCAAGAAATATATATATATAATTATATTATTTTATTTATGTTATATACGTTTTCCACTCTTTCTCAGTCCTTATTTTTAGAAGGTAGAATGGTATATTTTTTATAAATGACCAAAGTTAGTACATTTAATGCAACTAAGAAGTACAGTGTGCCAGTGGATTTCTGAAAGCCAAGTTAATTCAAGTTTCGAGCGATCATTATTCCAGTATGATTTGTTTGTTTGTAATTAAGCGCAAAGCTACACAAAGGGTTATATGCGCTCTTCCCACCACGGGTATCGAAACCCGGATTCTAGCGTTGTAAGTCCGAAGATATACCGCTCTGTGCCACTAGGGATCCAGTATGATGAAACGGTTTTAATCAATTCATGAATGTTTTTGGTAATTATTTTGAATAACTTGAAACATAAGAGTTAGGTTGAGTAAATATTTTGCCAAGAATGTATTTCTGTCTACTAACTAATTAATAGTTATTATTATTGTTTATCAATAAAGTAATTACAATTTCTAAGAACTATATCGTATGTTTTATCAGCTAATGATTGTTTTATTTACATGATTTCGAACCATGCACCAATAGGCAGATCTTTACTCGGGGGCTCTCTTCATTACCCTGTCATTTAAGTGGGACTTATATGGTTCGGTGGTAGCTTTACTGATCCTCTCTGGAATCTTTACAATCTCTGGTAAGTTTTGTAATATACAAACATATTCCTCATCCATAACAGAACGTAAGATCTGATTTAGAATGATAAACATTTTATTAAAATAATAGTTGACTAGCAGAGACCAGCAAAACATTTCTGGCCAAATTAGTGTCTTTATCGTAACGGTACTTCTTTAAATATAACATTTCTAGCACAATACAAACGAATTGTAATCGTAGACAACGAAATGTGTAAATCCATTTGTATATAGGCCGTACTTTATAAAACTTTAAGTTATGTTAAACATAAGTTCGATAAAGAGATAAATTAACACTGTAACCTGTGTGTACGTTTTTTTTTTTTTTTTTACTTG